GGTATATAATTCTTGGTTGACAATTTTTCTCTTTCAGGGTTTTATATATACCATCCCATTGTAAAGGCTGTAGTCTTTACAGAAGCAGACTGCCTCATCTTTCTCCCATGGAGAAGCTGGTGGATTCAGACTGTCAGTCTTACTGTTGTTAGCTGCCAAGCTCTTATCCACTGCATCACCAGGGCTCCTGTTAAGTGCTGGACATATATTATTTAATCCTCAGAACAAACCTTTGAGATGGGTATTCCCATTTTATAGAGAAGCTAATTAACCTAAGGTCATATAAGAAGGCCTGGAGCCTAGTAGTTAAGCTTCTGACAGCTAACCAAAAGGTTGGTGGTACAAACCCACCAACCACTCTGTAGTAGAAAGATGTGGCAGTCTGCTTCCTTAAAGATTTCAGCCTTGGAAACCCTATGGGGCAGTTCTAATCTATCCCATAGAGTCTCTGTGAGTCAGAATCGACTTGATAGCAATGAGTTTGGTTTTTGGGTTAAGGTCACACAGCTAGTAATGGCAGAACCAGGACTTGAACCCTGACTGGCTGATTCCAAAGCCCAAACACTGAACCACCAGGCTATACTGGAGAGAAGAGGGTTGACTGACCTCAACAATAGGCTAATCATGATTACTTGTCGTGTTGTTGTTATGTGCCTTTGAGTCGAACCTGACTCATAGCGACCCCTTCTTGGGTTTCCAAGGTCGTATCACTATGGAAGTAGATTGCCCAACCTTCCTTCCGAGGAGTGGCTGGTGGGTTTGAACCCCCAGCCTTATGGTTAGCAATCAAGTGCCTTAGGCACTACGCTATATATATAAACTAAAAAAAGCCAGTTGCCATCGTTCAGTTCTGACTCATAGCCGCCCCACGTGTATCAGAGTAGCATGTGTATATGCTTCACAGGGTATTCAATGGCTGATTTTTGGAAGTAGATCACCAGGCCTTTCTTCCAAGGTACCTCTAGGTGGACTCAAACCACCAACCTTTTGATTATTAGTGAAGCGAGTTAACCGTTTACACCACTCTGGGACATGATTACTGATAGTCTTGATTTATTCCCGAGGTCAAATCTAGAATAGAGCTTAAAATTTGTTTAGTCGTCATCTTATAGGAACTGTTATGGATTGAATTGTGTTTCCCAAAAAGATAGGTTGAAGTTCCAACCCTTGTACCTGTGAACATGACCTTGTTTGGAAATGGGGTCTTTGAAGATGTCATCTGTTAGTGTAATATAAGGTTACACTGGAGTAGGGTAAGTCCTAATCCTATGTGACTGGTGTCCTTATAAAAAGGAAGAAGATATATAGATACAGGGGGACAGGAAGGATGGATGCCATGTGACACTGCAGCTGCAAACAACGGAACTCCTGGAGCTACTGTTCTTGTTAGGTGCCATCGAGTCATCTCCGATTCATAGCACCCTATGCACAGCAGAACAAAACACTGCCTGGTCCTATGCCAGCCTCATAATCCTTGCTATACTTGAACCCATCATTGCAGCCACTCTGTCTGTCCATCTCGTTGAGGGCCTTCCCCTTCTTCATTGACCCTCCACTTTACCAAGCATGATATCCTTCTCCAGGGAATGGTTCCTTCTGACAACATGATCAAAGTAGTGAGATGAAGTCTGGCCATTGTTGCTTTTAAGGAGCATTCCAGCTGCACTTCTTCCAGGACAGACTTGTTAGTCCTTTTAGCAGACCATGGTACTCTTAGCATTCTTCTCCAACACCACAATTCAAAAGCATCAACTCTTCTTTGGTCTTCCTTATTCATTGTCCAGCTCTCACATGTATAAGAGGTGGTTGAAAATACCATGGTTTGGATTAGGTGCACCTTAGTCTTCAAGGAGACATCTTTGCTCTTCAGCACTTGGAGCTACTAGATTCTCCCTAGACGCCTCAGAAGGAGTCAACATGGGTGACACCCTGATTTTGGACTCTCAGACTCCAGAACTTCAGACAATAAATTTCTATTGTTTAAAGCTACTCACTTTGTGTTATTTTGTTATGGCAGCCCAAGGAAACTAACACAAAGAGCAAACTAGTTAGTTTGCTCTGTGCTGCCTGCTGGCTATTTTGGTTGCTATTTTCACAGCACTCCTTAAGCCCCAGCAGTCAAGAATCATAATGTACTTTATAAATAACATCTAAGAAATTTGGTCATTGATATCCCAAGGCATTAAGATGCTACAAAATCAATGAAGTCCCCAAAGTTCTTTAAGTGGCTTATTACATCCCTAGGACCAGTTTTTAATAATGAAACCTTTTAGACTAGGATGTCAGTTTCCAAAGTGAACTAAAGTAGAAAGTTCTGACTGTAAATCAGAATTAAGGTTGATTCATTCATTCAACAAACATTATTTTGTACCCATTCAATCCCTAAGGACTCTCCTTCAGTTCAGACCCTGGAGACGGAAAGATTTTTCTAGATAGAGGAGAGGTTATCCTTACCGCCTGGTGAGCTCATCTGGATGGAAAATTGCTCAGTGTCCATAAGCTGACTTCTTAGCTCTTCTACACGCTGGAAAGCATCCAGCTTCACACTGCGCTCCTGGGCAAGCCGGCTTCTCATCTGTGGGAAAAAGTGCTTAGGAAGTAGAAATGTTTTGGGGTGCACATCTGAGCCCTCTCCATTGACAGTGTGGTCCCTCAGGAAAGTGGGTCACATGAAAGTCATGGTTAGTCTAAACTCAGCCTTCTGAGAATCCACAGCTCTATAAAGGCTAAGAACTTGACCAAAGAGGAACCAAGACAGCCCATCGGACTTCTTTGTACCTTATCATAGCCAGGAGTGGACTTACAAAAGTTATCAGAGGGGTAGGGAGAGAGGAGAGGTGATGGACCAGTTTGCATAGGAGAGGTAGGGAGAGAGGAGAGATGAAGGACCAGTTCACACAGGACCTTGGAGGCCAAACAGGTATCTACCCTGAATACCTGCAGGGGCCCTGTACTATTTCAGGAAGTGGAAAGATTTGACCTCTCTGAAAGAAATCTACACGAGACCACCTTCTGCTGGGGGTGCTCCAGCACTCATTCCTGGAGGTAACTTTTGTATTTACTCCTGCAGCTGTCCCCTCTCAGGGCTGATCCATATCTCCCTGTTCCTCACCAAAGAGTGGCTGGCTCCAAAGTACTTCTCATCTGCATAGATTTCAGGTGCTTTTTCTTTTAAAATGTATGCCATCATCTAATTTTTTTTAATGATAAAAAAGTAACACACACTAATCTCAAAAGTTTGTGCCCAGGTGTTTTAAATCCTACTCATGCCTAGATAGACTTAACCAGAGGCCCCTGTACACTCTGCGCTGCGACCCTGGGCTTGTCTGACAAATGTTAAAGGCGGCTGTTCCTTGTGTTGTGTGAAAGCTCTCAAGTGTTGTTTAAAATTCAGTCGATTTTCAAATATCCAGAGTTAGAAAAACTTCCCCAATGTCAACTAGGTCCATCTACTATGACGATTTTTGTAGAATTCCATCCCCATGGGCAGGAAACATAACAAGGGTCTCTGAACCAGGTTGGGGCCAGATCAACCTGACAAATGCTAGCAAAGATAAGAAACTTTCTTAGTTAGGGCAATCTACTTCCATAGTGATACTGCCTCGGTCCAACTCGAGGGCACATAACAACAACAACTAGGTTAGCACACTGCCATTTTGCAAAGGTAGTTCAGTGATTTGGCCAAGGTCACGCAACCAGTTAGTGGCAGAGCCAGGATTTGAATCCAGCTCTATCTATGTGTTTTCAAAGCTTGTCCACCTTCACATTCCCAACAAAAACACAAACAGCTAACATTTATTGAGTTATGTGTCGGATCCTATTCCAAGAACATTATTTTAATTAAATAAATTAATCTTCCCCCAGATCCATAAAATCCCATTATTATCTCTATTTTATCGTTGAGGATATTAAAGTACAGAGAAGTGCTCCATCACACAACCAGTGATGTTTGAGGCCCTGGGATTTTGAGTTGGGCAGTTGGTCCAGGGCCTATGCTCTGAAAGACTCTACTAGGCACAGGAGTAAGCAAGGTCATGGATGCCCTCTGAGGCCCATCATGACTCTGGGGAGAGTACTGGAGATGGACCCAAGAGCTTCTCCTAGCCATGGGAGTTCTTGCTGGTGGAAGGCAGATTGCTATATATTCAGCTCTTAACAGAAAGATTGGTGGTTCAAACTCATCCAGGGGCTCCATGGGAGCACAGAAGAAAAAGAAAAGGGGGGGGGGAAGATTTCAGCCAAATGAACTCTATGTAGAACCCAGAGTAGTTCTACTCTGTCACATGGTGTCACCATGAGTCAAAATTGACTCCATAGCACCCAACAACAAAAAGCCCAGAAATATGTGAGCTGTCAGGAGAGTGGGAGGGGTAGTTAAGAAAGGGCCAACAGTGGTTTTTAAAATACATTTATTGACAATGCATTTATTGAGAGAAATCTCAAATTATTTCTGTTTTGATTAGCTCTGGAATTTCTGCCATAAACTAAATAGTCTGGTGGTGTAGTGCCTAAGGCATCTGACTGCTAACCAGAAGGCTGGAGGTTCAAACCCACCAGTCACTCCGCAGAAGGAAGGTTGGGCAATCTACTTCTGTAGTGTTACCACCTCGGAAACCCAAGGAGGGGTCACTATGAGTTGGCTCCAACTCAACAGCAGAGTTTGGTTTTTGGAATTAGAAAGGACTTTGAAATAGTAAGCTACAACTTCCCTAATTTTGTGGTAGATTTTAGAAAAGCATAATTTGTCAGGCAAATGTGTGATGCCAAATTTTTCTTATAGCTTTAGCCATATTTTAGTTTACCTTTCAAGAATTAAGTGGGAAATCCTAGTTTTTTAATTCTATAAACCAAAAATTAACTCACTGCTGTCGAGTCAAACCCGACTCATTGCGACCCCTCCTTGGGTTTCTGAGGCGGTATCTCTATGGAAATAGATTGCCCAACCTTCCTTCTGAGGAGTGGCTGGTGGGTTTGAACCACCAGCCTTCTGGTTAGCAGTCAAATCTGCTTTTACAAAAAATGTTTTCTCAAGATTGCCATCAATTTCATTTTACCCATTTTAATGGCCATTTGTCTTTTGTAGAATTCTTACTAATTGTCTCTTTGAGCACTTGAAAAACTTGGCCAGTAATTTGATTTTTCAATTTCTTCTAATCACTCCAATGAATTAATTGATTTATTCATTCAATGAATTGCCTGCTTTGTGAGGCGCTGTTTCTTTATCCTTTTGTATTGAATTACATTCTGCGGTCTTATTTTTTTGAACTTTACATTAATCCACTTATCTATATTAAATCATATCCTTTAATTTTTTTCACACTGAAGTCTATTTAACAAAAATTTATTGTCTGCAAACCATTCTCGCCTTTCATTTTTGTCTCTGCAGTTCCAGAGACACTTTGAAGAAAATCCTCTTAAAAAGGCTTCCATAATACTTGCTCCTTTTCCAGATCCCTCTTCAGAATTTTCTAAATACTTCCTAGTTCAAAGATTAGAGTTCTGCAGACACATGTTTTGCAAGTGGGTTGCAAGTGTGTCAAGATTTTGAACCTCGAGTCAGTCAGCCATCATCTCTTGCCATAATCAGTGAGAGCAATCAACCTAGTATCGGTTTAAATATTACCATTTTCCTAGCGTGCCTAAATGTGACAAAGGTTGAGATGCACTGCTGTGGAGAAAAGGGGGTATGGAATAGATGAGAGAATGAAATGATTCTTGCTAACATACTCTGGTTCGTTTACTGGTGGCCACCACTGCTTGCCGGCGTTTACCTGTCGGATTTCTCTCTCATTTTTTTTCTGCTGAAACTGGCCCAGTCTGGAAGCCCTCTCAGCCTCTTCAGTAAGGAGCTGCAGCTGCTGCTCTTTTTGCTCCACCTCGTCCAAGAGCTTCTCCATGTTGGATGTTTTCATTAAATCCAGCTGCTGCCGGTTGAGCGTCTCCTGGGTCACTCTGTGTTCTAACTCCTTCAGCAATCGAGCCTGTGGTAGGAAAAGGCCAAAGGAAACATAAAAGGCCGAATAGTCTTGGTATCAGAAGGGAGGGAACAAGAGGCCAGTCAACACTGTCACCATCTCCTCCTGCCCAGGGGTAGGAGTGTTCTTGGGCTCAAGGTAACACAGCTCAGCAGCAAGATCACCAGGGTCTCTAGCCCAGCCCCACATTTATATTTTAAGTCCTGAGACAACATTCAAGGAGAAACAAACAAATAACAAAAACCAGGAAAGTGACAACCAGGCTGAAACATTTGGCCTCTTAATTACAAGAATTGGTGATAATGTATATGTGAACTAGCTTACTAACCAAATACCTATATCTATCACAAGCTACATTTGCATGATCATTTAGCCTTTATCTTGAGGGAGCAGCTACTGGAGGAGCTCTGGAAGCATAGTGCCTAAGGCACTTGACTGCTAACCAGAAGGCTGGCGGTTCAAACCCACCAACCACTCCTCAGACGGAAGATTGGGCATCTACTTCCGTAGAGATACCGCCTAGGACACCCATGGAGGGGTCGCTATGAGCCACAATTGACTCGATGGCAGTGAGTTGTTTTTTTTGGGGGGGGTTTATTGGGAGACAGGATGACATAATACATGTAACAGGTGGGGAAAAGAGGTTCTAATCTTGCTTTTCTTTTGACTCAATTCCAAAGTAACTTTGGGGAAGCCAGGTATTTGTTATATAAAGAAAAGAATAGCAATAATTTAGCTCTATTTTTCTAATGAGTAGCACCATAAATACTAGATGGTCAATACTTAATTATAATATTAATACTAATTATTATTGACATTTGTACAGTGACTTTACTGTTTATCAAGTACATTATATAGTTAATCCACCTGATGAACAGTAATGGAAGAACTGGGGTCCAAAATGGTCAAATAAGTAACACATTTCATGCTTTAAGCATGGCCAGCTTTCTCAGGTTATTATTTAAACTCAGCTGTTCTTTCTCTAAATCTAAGTTCTCTCTGTTTTAATGTCTCAGAAGGTTAGCATAGTTATTAGGAGTTTAGACTTAATACAATTTTATTTTGGTGCCAGCCTCTCTGGAGCAGCAGGAACTTCTAAGAGTAAGACTAAATGTGGATCTTCAGGAAAACCCAAGACTCCCTGCTTGGGGCATAGCTGACTGCTGCACCACACTCCACACACACACAGGGTTGCTGTCAGTGGAATGCAGGTTTGGGGCTTGGGACATGAACAGCATTGTGATCAAGACAGAGACTAGACTCTAAGACACCCTCATGGTAAACACACACACACACACACACACAGGAAAATGATCTTGTGTATCAATAATCTTAGCCAAATATCAGTGAGAATAAAGGTCTGTTGACTACTGCCCTTGGTTTCATGGTTGGGAAAGGAGGGAAAAGAAAGGAAGCCAAGGTTCCAGCCTTTTTTTTTGTCTGTGAGATCTGCTTGGCTTCACCCTGAGGAGCTCTGGTGATTGCTACAGACAGGTGGCCATGTGTCTGCTTCCGGTTACCACCTTTGGCTTTGCAGAGTGTGCTCAAAAAGTGGGAGGAAAAGCTGCCCTGCAGCCCAGATACCTGGTTCTCCTGGCGTTTCCACAGGCTCACATTGTCAGCCTGAGCCCTGGCGAGGGCCTGCCTGAGAGCCAGCAGCTGCTGACGAAACAAAACCACTTCTTGTTCTGCCATTAACTTGGTGCTCAAACACTCTTTTTTACTTTGAATAGCTTCCTGTAAATATCCCAAACACAGTAAATTAATAGGAAATAAATGTCATTTTCACACTTTTAGTTTCTCAAATGCAAAATGCAACGCAGTACACTGCAGTAGAGTTGGATCTGACTCATAGTGACTCCTCCTTGGGTTCCTGAGGTGTTATCACTATGGAAGTAGATTGCCCACCACCAGCCTTCTGGTTAGCAGTCCAGTGCCTTAGGCAATACACCACCAGAGCTCCCTTAGTTTCCCAAGGAGTAGCTAAACCACTTCATCATCCACTGTTCTTTAAAACATCCACCAAAATGGAGCTCCCATGATTTAATTAAGAAAAGTGAAACAGATCACAGCAAATAAAGACATTCAGAAACAGTAAGAGTGATGGTTTCCAAACCACTATCAATGTGTGTTTTGGTTTCAATTTGCTTTAAAGCAGATTTTCCATGTATTACTTTGTTATTTCATTTAGCTCAGATGGTTGAAACCCAAGGATGTGCAGTATTTTGACAAAGCTGTCTCAAGCCCTCTGCTCCGTTCTCTTTTGCCATTTGCTTCTGCCTCTTGTCTCTCTTCCTCAAAGCTCTGGCCCTGCTCCAACTGTCAGATCCTTCAGCATGGCCCTGCCACAGGACACCAGCTCAGCAGCTGCAGCCAAGCTCTGGGCTAGGATGACCCTCCCTCCCCCAGCGCTCACCTTCTCTGCCCTGCTCAGCTGGCCCCGGAAGTGCGCCTGCTGCACAGCCAGCCTCCAACGGCCCAGGATCCTGGCTTTGCACACCAGGCCAGCCAGGCTGCAGTTTTCTTCCTCCAAAGCCCACAGCTGCTCCTGCTAAGAAGGCTCACTTTCAGAAAAGCCTGCTCCCAATACAAAAACTCAGGAAGGACTCGAATCCTTCCAAAAGATGACAAGATTGTGCAGTGAGCCCTGGTGACTTGCTTAAATGCCTGATGCAGTCAGTGCTTTCTCAGGGGAATCAGGCTGGAATGGAAGTGGAGTAAACAGTGGCTCAAATGCTAGGCAGAGAGGCTGCTAAATGGCATCACATACCTTGGCTGGGCTCTCTTTCATTCCTTGCTCAGGTCTGGAAGAGCCCCATTTTTTCTTTAGATCCTTCATATTGTTAATTCCTTCTTGTCTCACCTCACTGATGAGCTCACACACTTTCTGGATCAAATTAAGCTGGTTCTCATCCAGCTTCTCCTGCAAATTGCAAACTCAATTTAAGGAAGTACAGTGAACTTGAAGAGTGAAGGGCAACTGAGGAAGAGGCATTTTCCCTTCAAAAATCCAATTCTTAGAATTGATTTCATGCTAAAATATCATCCACCCAACCAGTTACCAGTCCATGGAGTCAGCTCTGACCCATGGTGACCCTATTGTTTATCAAAGGAGAACCGTGCTCACAGGGTTTTAATTTGCCTCTGACCACTAGGCGTTTCTTCCAAGGTGTCTTTGGATGGACTAGAACCTCCAACCTTATAGTGAGCAGCTGAGTGCATTAACTATTTTCACCTCGCAGAGGCTCTCCAATTATTTATTCATGTATTATATGGAAGTAACACTAGTGGCTCCTTGAGGATTGTCTTTATCCACAAGCCTTCATCATTTGGGCTCCTGCATGGCTTAGAGCATGCCTAGGTTTGCTAAGGCACTTGACTGCTAACCAGAAGGCTAGTGGTTCAAACCTACCAGCCACTGCTTGGAAGGAACATTGGGCAATCTACTTCCGTAATGATACCGCTTGGAAATCCAAGGAGGGATCGCTATGAGTCAGAGTCAACTTGAAGTAGTAAGTTTGGTTTTTTTGGTAGGTTGTCAGATGCCTTTTTTTTTTTTTTTGCTACCACATTGTCTCAGAGCAGAATCTGACCAGCAGAACGCTGTAGATGAATCACTACAAGGAACCCCATTAAAAAGAGATAAAGTGGAGGAGGGAATCAGGCTGCCTCCCTCCTTGTTTACGTTCCAGCAGGCATCTCATTATAGGGCGCTCATTCTGAATAGCTTATAGCAAGGGTGAAATGACTTCATCATTGGTAAGTGAAACTGGAGACCCAGCATCCTTGGGGTGAAGGATAGGGCTGGGTGTCCTCTCACCTCTGAACCATGTCCTTGGGGAGGAAGGCAGGGAGATAGTGTGCAGCTAGGACCCATGGCAGGAAGCCTGGCTGCTGGCCTCCTAGCCAAAGTTTTACAGTGTTCCTGGGACTTTGGACTAGCACAGGGATTCTCTATTTTGAGGGGTCTGGCAGAACTATTTTCTCATGGGAGAAGCAGGGAATTTACTTTTTATCTAGAATTCTGACAGAAGCTAAAAACAACTTAAGTAATTTCTCCAACAATCTCACATCTTAAAGATCTCTCAGCAAATTCAGCCCTTCACTGCTCATCCCTCTCCCACAGCACTAGGGTTAGTGCCTTTTGGTTTTGATCCTTTAATATTTGCAAGTATTTGTGTTACTTGTACTCCTTCATAAGTAAGAAGGAGATCTCCAGACCTCTCTGGAATGATAAGGCCAAGGCAAAGCCTTGGTGAAAAATCTTGTCAACATAATGACCCTAGAGACCACTCTGTAATCCCTGGGAGAAGTGGTGAAGTTAAGAACCCCAAAGGGGCTGACTCTGTGGTACACTCAATAGGTAGGGGGAAGATTGGGGGAAGCTGTGTTGGACTTAGGAGTCCTTGGATGGGGCAAACAGTTAACACGTTCAGCTGATCACTGAAAGTTTGGAGGATCAAGTCCACAAGAAAGGCCTGTAATCGTCTTCCAAAAAAATCAGCCATTGAACCACCCTATGGAGCACAGTCCTACTCTGACACACTTGTGGAGGCCATGGGTCAGAATCAGCTCGATGATAACCAGCTTACTGGTATTGTAGTTGGGGCTGGGTCATTTACATTGAACTTAACACTTGCTGGGAAGCTGGACCAGGCTCCTGATGGCTCATTTTAGGTGTGGGGCATCCGCCTTACAACTGCTCAGATGATGAAAGACCAGGACTGGCTTCCACAGTTCTGGGCACGTGGGCACCCATTAATCCTCTTCTAGGATGAGTCACCACTGATGGGTCAGCAGCTCCATGACACCAGAGGTGAGAGAAAGGTTGGAGGGCATTCTGAGGGTTGGGGGAATCTCTGGAAGCTGATTAAAATTCTGCATCTGCCCAGTGGGCTCTCGGGAAGTGGCTGCTGCCTCCTACACTACACTGGGGTCTCATCTGGCTATGCACTGGCTCTCCCAGTAGATGTTGTTGTTGTTGTTGTTGTGTGCCGTCGAGTCGGCCCCGACTCATAGCGACCCCTCCTTGGGTTTCCGAGGCAGTATCACTATGGAAGTAGGATTGCCCAACCTTCCTTCCGAGGAGTGGCTGGTGGGTTTGAACCGCCAGCCTTCTGGTTAGCAGTCAAGTGCTTTAGCCACTATGCTACCAGAGCTCCTCTCCCAGTAGACCCCAATAGTTTATACCACTGTTCTGGCTATTGAATGTAACTATCTAACTATCTCCCAGTAGATAGTTACATTCAATAGCCAGAACAGTGGTATAAACTATTGGGGTCTTGGAGCAGCAGCACCTAGCAATCAGATGGCAACTGGCAATAGAATGAAAAAAAAAAAAAATTCTAAATCATCCAACATTCAGTGTGCACCATGGTAAAATAATGACAACACATTGCTCCCTCTCTTTTCTGAAGTGAAAGCTTAGAACTAGAAAATTCTGGGACCAAAGAATCTCTTGTTACCACAAAGCCCATTCTGTCACTGACTTCTCTGTGTGCAGGCACTATGGGAATCAGTTACTCCCGGCTCCCCACAGGAGCTGCCCAGACATCTGACACGGGACACTCACTTTTATGTGCAAACAGGTCACAAACAAGGCTTGGACTAATGCTTCGTATTCTTCTTGGACTTCTTTTCTAATCTGCTTTTTGAGATTCAGATTCTCCTCTTCCAAATCGGTGAGTCGGGCTCTCAGAGCAGTGATTTCCATGATCATATCATGACTGAGCGCAGTAACCTAGCAGCAGAAATGTTTATTAAACAGAAGACAATTCAGGAATCCCAAACTGCAACCACAAAATAGTTCTGAGTGGATCAGTGCTGAAACTGCACTTCTACTTTGACCCTCATGAAGAAGGGAATATCCTGCTGTGTGAAAGCGGGCAGAAGAATTTAAGATTGGGTTCTAAGATTCCAGAATAGTGCCATTGCCAGACACATGGCCAGTGCTTGATAAATGGTTACTGAGAGCATGACTCCAGAAGAGCCACTGGTGTAGCAGTTGTCAGGTGAGGAAAATACTTCCATTGTCTTGGCCTCCACCTTGAATCTAGCTTTCCCTTGACATCTCAGCCCAAATATTTCCTCTTTTTTTTTTTTTTGGAACGCATTTTAACTCATCTCAATAGAAAAGAAAAAGAAAAATGCACAAAATAACAAAGAAAAATAAAAAATTAAAGGAAAAGAAAAGAAAACTCAAAGGAAAAAAAAAAAAAAAGACCTCTAAGGAGAATTGCTTAAAAAAATGAAAATACACTCCTGTGGATTCTCCAGGAACTTTGGTGGTGTAGTGCCTAAGGCATTTGACTGTTAACCAGAAGGCTGGCAGTTCAAACCCACCAGTCACTCCTGAGAAGGAAGATTGGGTGACCTATTTCTGTAGTGATATCACCTCGGAAACCCAAGGAGGAATCGCTATGAGTTGGGTTCAACTCGATGGCGGTGAGTTTGGTTTTGGTTTTTGTTTGTGGGTTCTCCTTCACTGATGGAACTTCAACAGGTCACCCCTGAAGGTGGCACAAAACTCAAAACTCAGTGACTCATAGTGACTCCCTTTGGGTTTCTGAGGCAGTAAATCTTTACAGAAGTAGATTGCCCAGTCTTCCTTCCACGGGGTAGCTGGTGGGTTTAGAATCGCCAGCCTTCTGGTTAGCAGTCAAATGTCTTAGGCACTATACCACCAGAGCTCCTTAAAGGTGGCACAAGCAAATGATAATGAGAATTCCCAGTTCTGGCTAATTCTGACAGGATGGATTTGAGAAATGCGAAGAAAACCTTTCAATTAGTGTATTGAATCGAACAAATTCCCTCCTAAAATTCTTATTTACCCAGAACCTGTGGATGAGACCTTATTTGGAAATAGGGTCTTTGCAGATGTAACCAAGTTAAAATAAGGTCATACTGGATTAAGGTGAGCCCTAATACAATGATTGGTGTCCTTATAAGAGGGAAATTAGGACACAGAGACACAAGGAGGAGAACTCCACGTGATGACAGAGGCAGAGAGTGGGTCGATGGATCTACAGGCCAAGGAATGCCAAGGATTTCCAGCAACCACCAGAAACTAGGAAGAGCCAAGGAAGGATGTTCTCCGATAGCCTTCAGAGAGACCATGACCCCACTGATAGCTTGATTTCATACTTCTATCTTCCAGAACAGGAGCTCTGGTGGTGGTGTGCCTAAGGTATTTGACTGCTAACCAGAGGGCTTGCACTTCAAACCCACCAGCCACTTCTCAGAAGGACGACTAATCTACTTCTGCAGAGATACCGCCTCAGAAACCCAAGGAGGGGTCACTATGAGTTGAAATCGACTTGACGGCAGTGAGAGTTTGAGTATCTTCCAGAACTGTGAGAAAATAAATATCTGTTGTTTTAAACCACCCAGTTTGTGTTACTTTGTTACAGCACCCCAGGAAACTAATACAAGTAGTTATTGACCTACCTGACCAGCATTTTCTTCAGGTGGCCTCTGACCTCTTTGTATGACATCTAACTCCTGAGGAGGAGAAAGTAGTGCATAGCCAAACTCAAACATTTATTCTTCCCACCATGGCCCGATTCAGTACAACATGCTCCAGCCCCTCCTGTTTGTGGGATGGAGCCCATATTAAGATGCTCAATGCCCTAGTGGAGCCAGGACTGTGCTGTCTCCCCATTGAACTTTCTGATGTTCAACACAGCATCAATAGATAGTGTTAACTTCCTAATATCCACACTGATGCAGAGGACTCAGTGATGGGCAGAAGCCAAAATGGGGGCAAATCTAAAATTCATATTTGATGTTTTAATACTTCATTGGATTTTTTTTTTTTTTTTGGCTGGTCTTTCAGACTTTTCTTAGGTACAAACTAAAATTACTCTGAATCTCTTATGCAATCCATTTCAAAAACAGTATGAAATCTAGGACACAAATGACTCTTGGATCCTACCAGTGGGATCTCATTCCAGGGAAGTCTCATCAGTGAGACCAGCTCATGATATTCCTCCTGAAGACAGAGTTTATTTACTCCAGGATCCTGGCTTCTTAACTTGACCATGAACAGCAGAAGTGCCATTTGTGTTTGCTGAGGTTGGGAATCTCAGCTCTTCATCTTCCCCCTGGGGCCCTGGTCCTTAGTGCTCCCCTCTTACATTCCCCACTGGACAGCTTCAAAGTACATGGTCCAGTGTTGCTGTGGCCATCACCTTTGCAGCTGAGAATATCAGAACCCAAGAATATCAGGACCCAAGGAAATGAACCAGTGAGAAGAGTAGCTTGGAAGGTGTCATTCCCCCTACAGAGCTCTGGTGGCTTAGTGGTTAAAGCATTCAGCTGCTAATCACAAGGCTGGTGGTTTGAATCCACCAGCCATTCCACAAGAGAAAGAAGAAGCCGTCTGCTTCTATAAAAATTTACAGTTTTGGAAACCCTGTGGGGGCAGTTCTACTCTGTCCTATAGGGTCACTGTGAGTGGGGATCAACTTGATGGCAGTTTGGTTTGGGTAGGATTCACCCTAATTCTTGCATAAGAAAAAGCCACTACTCAGTTTTAATTTCCTCCTCTAAGTGACTCGTGGGCCTCCCTGCCCACACCCATTCCCACTTGCAGTTCTTATCTTTCTGGGAACATACTTGCTCCTTCTGGCAGAGCCTCTGCCTCACATGCTGCAATACGTGCTCATAACACATGGAGTATGTCTCAAAGTTGCTGCGTTCTCTTGCCATCACATCACAACCCAAGGAAAGGAGGCAGGCCTCGAGGTGGTCTTTCCTGAAAGTGATCTGAAAAGGAAAGGGCACAATTCACAGTGGCTCCAGCAGGGCCACCTCATCATACCAGGGCTCATGGCACACCTGCCCTTGGCTCCCAGACCCACCTCCATTTGTCCTCTCAACCAAAACATTGGTTCTATTCTTCCAAGCCTCTCTTTCAGGTCTGCATTTAACATTTGCAAGACCCTAGGTGGACATGTCTCCTTGGCCCTAGGAGTTCCTTACCAAGTGGGGAAGGGTGTGCTGGGGAAGGGCCAGAGTGGAACCCTCTAAAGTACAGGGTATAAAGCAGGGGCCCCTCTTCCTCCCATCTAAGGACCACATTTCTCACTCTCTAGATAATTTCCAGTCCTTGCTTTCTCCAGGAGATTGGGCACATTCTTTGAAGAGGTGGCCATTGAGGAAAAGTCTACTCCACCAAGGCTCTGGAAAGAAACGGAAGCCAATATGCAGAAGTAGGGCATACCCACTGGAGTAGGACGTGAGCGTGATATGTGTTCTCTGAATCAAGTGTCCTGGAGGGGCCCAGAACCCTGTCCTCTCAATACAACCTCAGTACCCCCAAGACCTCCAGAGAAAGCCCATGATAGGCTTTGCCAAGGCCAGTTCTTAAAGCAAATTAGCAGAGATGGAAAATGCACTAAAATCTAACACTGATGGAGGAAGAAGGTGGCTCGCTCACCTACCACTTATACGCGGGTGAATCTGTGCAGCATTCTGGGGGGCAAGCTGGCAGTATCTATGGAAGGATTCTAAAATGCTCATGTCCTTAGACTCAGTAATGCCTTATCTTTAGTGAATAATCAAAATTATACACAAAAATAGATAGAAAGAGATATTCTTTATAGTATTCTTTCCAATAGAAAATGAAAACAAATAAGAAACAATCTAACGTGTCTCACAATGGAAAATAAGTTGAATCCATTCTGGCCCATCTATACAATATAATACTAAATAGCCCCCCAAAATGACACTGTAGGTATTGGCTTCTTGATAAGGAAGGAGGTTTATAACATACAGGCAAGTAAAAAAGCACATTATAAAATAGGCCTAGAAGGCTTCAAAACCAAACCAAACCAAACTCACTGCTGTTCAGTCCATTCTGACTCATAGTGACCCCTCGTTGGATTTCCAAGGTGATATCACTACCGAAGTAGATTGCCCAACCTTCCTTCCAAGGAATGGCTGGTGGGTTTGAACCACCAGCCTTCTGGTTAGCAGTCAAATGCCTTAGGCACTAGACCACTAGAGCTCCCAATCTTATTTTGTTTTTAAAAAATGCATGAATAGAAAAAAAGATATAAATAAAGTTTGGAAGGAAATACACCATCAATGAGTGGGAAGATTATGAGTGTCATATTATCATCATATTTCAATTTTCTAAAACAATGTAATCATAAAATAGTATATGATTAAAAGATAGTGCAGTGCAGTGAATTGCTTAATATAACCCTTCTAGCCATTGTCTTCCATTTTGTGATGTATTGCAAATCCTTGTCTCTATGCCTGTTTTTTTTGTTTTTTTTTTTCTTTCTGCCTGTATAGGGTGGGATGTATCTTGAGGCCTGCCTTGCTGGAGGGTGTGACTTAAGTCACCACCATTTTGTGATATATTGTAAATCCTGTTCTCTATGCCTCTTCTGGGAGCTCTAGTGACATACTAGGAGCTCTGGTGGCGTAGTGCCTAAGGCATTTGACTGCTAACCCAGAAGGAAGGTTGTTGTTGTTGTTGTTTGCCGCCGATAACGACCCCTCCTTGGGTTTCCGAGGCAGTATCACTACGGAAGTAGATTGCCCCATCTTCCTTCCAAGGAGTGACTGGTGGGTTTGAACAGCCAGCCTTCTGGTTAACAGTTAAGTGCCTTAGCCACTATGCTACCTATTTCCATAGTGATATTGCCTTGAAAACCCAGGGAGGGGTCACTATGAGTTGGATTTGACTCCACAGCAGTGAGTTTTGTTTGGTGGCTTAGTGCCTAAGGCATATGACTGCTAACCAGAAGGCTGGTGGTGGGATGTGTCTTGAGTCCTGTCTTGCTGGAGGGTATGTCTCAAATCACCACTCATTTTTATTTTTGTTTTATATTTTGGTAATAGCTCTCTTTCCACTTCTTCCCTGTATTTACCTCTTCCCTGTGTCCTCCCCTCCTGTGGACTGCCACCCCCTGAGCTGTATCCTTGTGCAAACACTGCCTTTCTGTTCTGCCAAGATTGATTGATCACTCCAAGGAGTACATAACCACCCATTTTGTGGTGTATTGTAAATCCTAGTCTCTATGCCTGTTAGGGTGGGATGTATCTTGAGTCTCGTCTTGACTCAAGTCACCACGCGTAGCTTCCTTAGGAGTATATATCTGAATGTTCTGGGAAAGTTCACCCTCTTGGTCTGGTTCTGCGATTGGTTTGTCATCATCCCACCCCTGGACTCGAGACAGCAGCTGTCAACTGATCTGCTGATTTGAGTCCTCCGACCCCTGCAAACCACGTGAGTTGGGAGAATCCTCCAGACCTACCCACACACCTGGGACTTGCCAGCCTGCCAGCCTGCCAGCCTCCACCATCACTGTGTAAGCCATTTCCTTGGGAGTTTGTGAGTTTTGTGAGACATTACAGTGAAATACAGAACCCTAAGACAGGAGGGAGATTACTGAGGGTAGGAGGAGTTGATGTCAGAGATGATGGAGTGGCACAACAGTGAAAAAGTTAGACATTTGGGATATCTTTAACCTCCACTTCATAGGGACCAGCCTTGCACTGATCTTTCTAAAAGAAATTATTCAAGCAGACAGTAAAGCTTTGAAAAAGTCATCAACTGTATCAGCTGGGCAGGATGCACTCAAGATATTCACAATGGAGTCAGAAGATGAAAATCTCCACTCAGAAGGGAGGTCAATCCAAGATGGGAGACTGGACAGATATGCTTCCCAGACCCTCTACAACAAAGACCTGAGAAACCAAGTGAAACTGATACAGATGACAACCCTGGAACCCAGAGCTTCCAAGGAAAAGATAAAGAAGCATTATTAAATACCAATTAGAGGAAGAGAATTAATGAAAACAGCAAATAAGGAGGCATATGGAATGGTGAATTGCCAACTAGCCTGGCACAGTACAGCCATTTTGATTTATTGTAAGTAGTGTTCTGATCAAGGCATGAACCAGGTAACTGGCTCTGTTTGCTCAGGACTGAACCAGAACCCACATAGGTTATTGGTGGCCAGAGAGGTGTAATCTCTCCCTCTTACCCCACACAATCCCTGGTAACTGGAGGCATGGCCCCCTTCCCCCCACCCACCCAGCAGCCAGTCAACACCCCTACTGCCAGAACTGTGCTGCTTTTCTATTTCTTTTTTGTTCTTCTTAGTTCTTCCTTCCTTTTATGTTTTCTTTTTTTTCTTCTTCCCTCTTCCCCCTTTTTTTTTTTGATTCCACAAAGCAAGCACACTGCCTCCATGGTTGGCAGCACCCACCCTCATCCTTCTGTGGTCAGCTGTGCACACGCCCACAGAGCAAGCACTGCGTTCCTGCCACAGTACTGTGGCACTTGTGCCAGTACTGTGCCACTTTTATTTTTTTCTTTCTTCTTAGTTTTTCGCTGCTGTTTTATCTTTATTCTTTCTCTTCTGCCTCCCCCGCTTTTTCCCCATCAGTCAAGAGTGAGTGACCCAACCATACGTGTCACACTTGCTGCCCCACCCACTAAGTGAGTGGCACCACCTAGTCTAGTGCCACTGGATTAACCACAGACAATGGCCAACACCTGCCCAGTCTGACTCAGCTGTTCTACACAAGTAATAATTGTAGAGTCATGCCCACACTCTCACCCACTACCAAATTCACCCAGAGACAGGTGAGGAGTGCCTCAGTGCTACCAAACTAGCAATCAGAGTAGCATGCTATAGTAGTAAAGATTATGTGTCAACTTGTCTGGGCCTGGGTTTGAGTGGCTGGGCAGCTGTATGTGGTTATTCCCCATGATGAGACTGCTTATCAGCTCCATGGTGGAAACTACTGGAGCAGCTGAGTAGTGCTGCCTTAGGGATGTGGTCTGCTTCCAGTATATAAAAAGACAGCTTTGCAAAAGGTCTCTGCTTCCTTTTCCAAATACTAGAAAGCCAGCTTTTCATAATTAGTTCTAATATCTTGTCCACATTTTATATTAAACACACTGGCTTGAAGTTAGAAACTGACCTTTTTGCAATCCGGTATTATAATAGTTTATCTTGTGGGTTCCAGAACCATTTCCATTCATGTGCCAAGAGTCATACATTCATTCATTCAGCAAACATTCACAGATGTTCTATTTTTTCTAGACACTTTATTAGAGATATAAAGACAAAAAGTACAGTCCTTGCCCTAAACAAGCTTATGGAGAGCGTTTAGTGAACCAGTAATCTCAAGAAGCATTAAATGCCTTAATAGAAGCATGCACAGGGTGCTATGTGGGGACCCAACCTACCCATGAGGTGGGGTGGGAGGTGGTCAGGGAAGGCTTCCTGAAGGAGGTGTTGCTTGGATCAAGACACACACACACACCAATGGCTAATCTTTCAGAAGTAGATTTCCAGGTCTTTCTTCCAAGAAGTCTTTGGGTGAGCTTGAATTACCAATCTTTCAATTAGCAGCTGAGTGTGTTTACCATTTTGCACTGCCAAGAAACTCCTGTTGTTGTTGTTGTTGTTGTTGTTGTGTGCTGTCGAGTCGGACCCGACTCATAGCGACCCCTCCTTGGGTTTCCAAGGCAGTATCACTACGGAAGTAGGATTGCCCAACCTTCCTTCCGAGGAGTGGCTGGTGGGTTTGAACCGCCAGCCTTCTGGTTAGCAGTCAAGTACCTTAGCCACTATGCTACCAGAGCTCCCTAGGATAATAATATTACCTATCTGTCATGCATATGAAAGAGTTACTCCACATAAAGTGCTTAGATCAACTTTTGGCATATAGGAAGCCTTAAGCAAACTCTCATTCTTATCAGGTAGGACTCAGGGAACCTCAACTCTCCCCCATAT